AATACTAAGTCTACTTTTGAGGACTCTCTGCAATGCTCCATATTTTAAGAGGTCTCTCCACTTGGGCTGGCATGAAGGCAAAATATTCCCAGCCCTGTGTGAGTTTCAGGAAATGTTTGGTTTACTGCTTTCTGGTGGTTCTCTCCCTGGCCTCCTAGAATCTCACCCATGCATGCTCTAAACAGGATTCACCTAAAGACTTGAGGGGCTCCCTCTGCAGATCTCTGGAGCTCTCCCTCCATGCCATCCTCTCTGATACTCTGCTCCACAAATTCTAGCTCTTCAGTTTTCCTGAACTCTGATCTCTGCCTCCAGAACTCTGTGAGATTGCTGGACTCTGGATTCCCCCTCTCTCGGTGATAGCTGCTTTGAGACAGCAATCCACAGCAGCGGCGGGACTCCTGTCATGTTTCCCTTTTCGTAGTTATCACGGTCCCATGCTGCCTGATTTCCAATGCTTGAAAGCAGTTCTGGATGCATTTGTTTGTTTCTCTAGTTGTTTACAATGGGTGAGAATTCCCATGACAGTTAGTGTTTCAATTTTAAAAATCCTAGGGGGGAACACTTGGGCTCATCTTATGTCCAGTAATCACTCAGGAACCAATCAAGGAAGTAAGAACATGTGAGGATATGGCACTTTTAAAGACTGGAGTGCAAGAAGAATCATTCTCCAATACAAAATGGAGAGGACTTCCCAGAAGAAGGGGGAAAGGGTACAGGCAAAAACAGATAAGCATCCACTATAAACAGCAGTTCAATGGAACCAAAAAAGACCCCTAATAGCCTCAGCAATATTGAGAAAGAAGAACAAAGTTGGAGAGCTCACAATACCTGATATCAAACTATACTACAAGGGAACTGTAATCAAAACAGCATGGTACTGGCATAAGAACAGACACATAGATCAATGGAACAGAGCAGAGAGCCCAGAAATAAACCAGTGCCTTTATGGCCAATTAATATTTGACAAAGGAGGCAAGAGCATACAATGGAGTAAAAACAGTCTCTTCAATAAATGGCATTGGCAGAACTGGACTGGTACATGCAAAAAATGAAACTACACCACCAACTTACACTGTACACCAGAATAAACTCAAAATAGATAAAAGACTTAAAGATAAGTTGTGATACCATAAAAATCCTAGCAGAAAACATAGGCAGTAAATTTCAGATAGCTCACATAGAGATATTTTTTATGATATACCCCCTGGGACAAGGGAAATAAAGGAAAAAATAAACAAATGGGACTACACCAAATTAAAAAGTTTCTGCACAGCTAAAGAAACCATCATCAAAATGAAAAAGGAACTGTATGGGAGAACATATTTGCCAATGATACATTGGGCAAGGGTTTAACTTCTGAAATTAAAAAATCTCATATGACTCCATACCAGGAAGATAAGCAACCCAATTAGAATATGGGCAAAGGACCTGAATAGACACTTCTTCAAGAAGGACATACATATGGCCCATAGACATATGAAAAGACACTCAACATCACTAGCCATCAGAGAAATGCAAATTAAAACCACAATGAGATTGTCACCTCACACCTGACAAAATCGCTATCAATAATACATCAACAAACAAGTGCTGACGAAGTTGTGGAGAAAAACGAACCCTAGGACACTGTTGTTGGGAATGCAGACTGGTGCAGCCACTGTGGAAAAAAAGTATGGCCTTTCTTAAAAAAATTAAAAATGGGCCCTGGCTGGTGTGGCTTAATGGACTGATTCCTGGACTGCAAAATGAAAGGTCACTGGTTTGATTCCCAGCCAGGGCACATGCCTGTGTTGCGGACCAGGTCCTTGGTTGGGATCGATGTATCTCTTGCACATTGCTGTTTCTCTCCCTGTCTTTCTCCCTCCCTTCCCCTCTCTCTAAAAGTAAATAAATAAACTCTTGTAAAAAATTTTAAAATGTAACTGCCTTTTGACCCAGTGATTCCACTGCTGGGAATATACCCTAAGAATCCTGAAATATCAATTCAAAGGAATTTATGTACTCCTATGTTCATAGCAGTGCTATTTACAATTGCCAAGATTTGGAAACAGCCTAAGTGCCCATGAGTAGATGAGTGGATAAAAAACTGTGGTACATTTACACAATGGAATACTACACAACAGAAAAAAGAAGGAATTCCTGCCTTTTGTGACAGCATGGATGGAACTGGAGACTGTTATGCTAAGTGAAGTCAGTCAGTTGGTGAAAGACAAATATCATATGATCTCAGTTATAAGAAGAATCTAATGAACAAAATAAACTAGTGAGCAAATAGAACTTGAGGCATGGAATCATGGAACAGACTGACAGCTGTAAGAGGGGAGAGAGGAAGTGTGAGAAGGCCTATTGAAAGAAGGTGAAGGGATAGTCAAAAAACATGCATGAAGGGCTCATGGACATGGACAGCGGTGTGAGGATTAACTATGGAAGTGGGGGCAGGGAGGGTGGTGGGGGGCGAAAGGGGAAAAATGGAACAACTGTAATAGCATAAACAGTAAAACATTAAAAAAAGAAGAAAAAAACCCAGCAGTTCATCTGAAAAAGAACTTCAAGTGAACCAACTAATAGGGCTATAAGAATCCCATTGTCTAGAAGGCTGTTATCTATTTCCTGGCCTCATGTTTTCCAGGGTCAAGGACAAACTGGAGGGGATCTAGGATGGCGAGATGTAATGTGTGTAACAGTTACACTGAAAAAGATAAAGTGAAATAAAAAAGTAAGTTTCTTCTCTTTTTGTTCTTTTCCCAACCCTGTCTGTCAAAGCTTTCTCTGCGGAACACATTTTTTTCCCACCCCTGAGTGACGTCTGGGGTTGGCGCCCCTAGTTTTCTGTTTCTCTTCAGATAAAAGAAAGATCTCCAGATGTTTTAATCCCACGAATAACCTCATATCATTAATTAAAATGTCCAGTTCTGTGTAATAGTCACTCTTGAGCATTTCATTTATAGGAACAGGGGACATGCTCCAGGAGAGAAACAGCATGTATAGAGCTTCTCCTCTATTTTTCCACCAAGAGGATTTTTTTGGAGCACAATATTCCAATCTCTATTGGAATAGCAATAGGTGGTTATTTTAACCATCTTGCGTAAGGTAAGGTGAGGCTAAGCATACATCAAGAGAAAGAAACCAGAAAGTTTAACAGTTTTGTTACACTCGCAGTTCCCTGGACAAGAACACCACATGCCATGCATGGCCACTCAGGGTCAACACTGGGCTGGGTTACAAGACAGAGAGAGAGAGTGACCGGTTTCTGCAGAAAGAAAGGGGCAAGGCAGGACAAGCAGTCTGATTAGCTAGTTGGACTAATTTCAGTGGGTTCTAAGGCACAGGGGCTGCCCCTGATGGTCCGGGACCTGGCCCTGGGGTGATCAGGGCCGGTGTATAGTGGCCTGGATTTGATAGCCTGATAAGAGAGGTGGTTGGGAAGTGCACTTAATTGGCTGTCTAAGAAGGGGAACTAACCAGCCCCTAGCCAGGCCTCAAAACTGAGTCAAGACAGCATTTTAAAAAACATTACGGGTTTTTACAGGTTCTTTGGAGATCCCTTGTCATTGAGATGGTCTCATCTGCAGTCACCTTATTATGGCACATTTCCAGCACCTTTCTGCCAAAATCTGAGGTCCTCTAGCGTCTGTGAGGAACCTGTCTTGGGCAGGGTTCCTTTAAAGAACACTTCGAGTGAGCTCTCCCCTGTGCCTCTCACATCTGACACTGAATTATACATGACTTGAGGATCGGCAAGGGAGAACAGTGCTCTTAGACCACAGGAGAGGCGAGGAAGGCAGCAGCAGAGTTCAGGAGCCGAGGACAAAGGTTTTTGAAGCAAAAAAGAATAAGGTGGACAAGGACTTACATAATAACGGCCAGAAATAGGGTGAGGAGAGTGAGGCACTTGCCTCACGGGCAAAAATTAAAGGAGTACCATAAAATGTGGTAATCAAGATAAATAAATGCTGTATTTAATCCTCACTCGAGGACATGTTTCCATTGATTTTGGAGAGAGAAGAAGGGAGAGAGAGCAAAACATCGATGTGAGAGAGAAAGATGGATTAGCTGCCCTCTTACACGCCCTCAGCGGAGATCAGAACCACAACCTAGGTACCTGTCCTCACCAGAAATCAAACCGGGAACCCTTCAGTGGGCAGGAAGATGCTCCAACCAACTGAGCCATGCAGTCAGGGCGATATATATTTACACATATATAAAATACAAATAAAGCGTATGTAACGGATGCATTTTCCCTTTTGCCCGAAGCTCCAAAATGGCCCAGCAATACACTAGTGCTATGCAATAGCAACTTCTATCTTCCTCTTGGCCAGATTGTACTTCTGAGCTAATTCCACACCAAAATGCTGGAGCAGCCCCCTAATGAAAAGCCTTACTTAGGGAGTAACCTTTTATCTGAGCCTTGAAAAAGGTGAGGCATGGAGTATGGCATGAACAGGGAAGAGGGAACAGAACATAAATAAGTCCAAAACGCCTACAGTAAAAAGAGCTACAAGGATGTCTGGGGAACGGTGATGGCCCTGAGTTTGTAGGCAGAGACCAGATCATGTAGGAACTCGAGAATTTTCAACAGGGGAGACACTTGCTCAGGTTTGCTTCTTACGCAGTTAATGCCTTGTGGAGGGATCAGGTCTGGATACAGGTAAGTCCGTCATGAGGCTCGCACTATACATAAGTAAGGGGATGACTGAATCCCAACCGGAACAGGTAGATTCCCAAAGTCCAGGTCCATTTCTCAGTTTCCCACCATAACACCGAGGGTAGGGAGATACCCGGGTTTCTGCCCTGCCAATTGGACCACCTCACGGTTCCACCTGAGTGGCCGTCACCCCACGGCGCGGAGAGGAACCGCCCGAAATCAGCGGCGGGCCGGGTCCAGAGGGGCGGGGCGGGTCAAGCGGGTGCCCGACCCGCTCGCCGCCCAATCGCCGCGGGCCCACCGAGCCCCGGGGGCTGGGGCCGCCGCCGCAACGTGCCGCGGCTGCGCCGACGCGCGAGCGCCGGGCAGCGCGGCGGGCGCGCTCAGTCTGGCGGCGGCGGCCGTGCGCGAACGGACGTGCCCGGATCGCTGCAGCCGCCCAGCCGCCCCGCCGCCCCGCCGCCCGCAGCCGCCCCGCCGCCCGCGCCGCGCCGCCCGCCATGGTGTCATGGATCATCTCCAGACTCGTGGTGTAAGTGGCCTTCTTCCCCGCGTCCCTTCCTTTCCCTTCTTCTCCGCCCCCGGCCCCGGGCTGCGTCCGCCCCCCGGCGCTGCGGCTATTAATACCCGGTGGCCGCTAATTTTAGTAGGTACAGTAGTTGCTGAGGTCGCCGGCTGGCGGGCGGCGCAGGACGCGGCCACTGCCCTGCGGGGCCTGGCCTGGGCTCGGGGGACCGGCGGACGGGGCTGCGAGGGTTAGGGCGCACGGAGCCTCCGCTGGGGGCTTGTCTCGCCGCGCCCCTGCCGCTTTGTTCACTCGGTGGTGGGATTTGCAGAGGCCCCGAATGGGCGCGCCGCGATGACTAGCGTCTCTCTCCTTTGGGAGAAATGCTGGTTGGGGTCGCCCGTCGCCGCGCCCCGCCGACCGCCACGCTTTTGTCAAGCGAAATTGACAGAGCCCCGAGGAGCCTGGGGCGCTGCCTGGAGGGGTCAGCGCGGAGAGGGGCGGAGAGATGGAGGCGGAGCTCTCATGGGGTTGAAAACACTCCTTTTTAGGTTTCTCAAATTGACAGCGGCAAAGGCAAGTCCCCCACGTCTGATTCCTTTGGCAGAGGGGATAATGTGGGGAGGGGGAGTGTAGAGAGAGGGAGAGAAAGGCATCTCCAGGAATTGACGGGAAATTTCCAAGTGATAGCCACCTGGCTGGTGGCGATGACACCTCCCCGGCCTTGCAGGAGAGCAGAGAGTCATCTGGGGTGAGGCCCGTGTGAAGTCATTGGGTGTGGGCTTGGTGGTCGTTTTTCTCTGTCAAGCCCCAGAGCCGAGTAGACATTTGAAGAGCTTCATCTCTCGTGGATTTATTGCCCTTTGGAGGTAGACGTGGTTGTTCCAATTCTTCCCTAACCGTTCTGGCCTGAGTCAGGACAGATTTTGACACCTGCTTAGAAGAGCCGGAGCTGGAATCGGTCTGGGGCGCTGGGGTAGGAGGTGTACCTCAGGCTTTTTCTTTGTCTGAGAAAGAGGGTCTCTGGACTCCCTTAGATCAGGCACCATCACTCCCTACCGTTTTGAAACATCTCCCATTTGGTACAGTTTTTGACTGATTTTTCCAAGAAGCAGTCAGGGCGACCTTTTGAAGTCTTTCTCAGCATTGTCTCCTGGCCACCATTCTGGGCCTTCCTACCAAAGCCAGAGGATGCACATATCCTCTGTATGTGCATCTCAGTCCCCATGTCTTTCATTGCATGCAGGCCTCTCCACAGCTGTTGCCGACTTCTGGGGGTTTGTGCTATACCTCGAGGCGGCATGTTAAATATTTAAAAGATTTCTGCGGGCAGGACTGGCATGAATAATACAAGGAAGAAGCTGGCACGCCTTGCCCCACCTCTTGCCTGACCAAAGCCTGTCTTGCCTTCAGGGTGATATTTTCTCTCCTAAAGCAGCACAGTGATCTTCATATTTGCCGGTGGCTTCTGGAAGGGCCTCAGGTGGGGCCAGAGAGTTTAAGCCAGCCTGGCTGGAAGGCTCACTCTCTGTACATACTGTTGTACTGGGTAGTGTGACCTTCTGGTCTTGGGTCCATGTGACCATTTTTAATTGTGTTCACATACCCCCAACTGTACAAAGCAGTTGGGCAGGATGGAGAGGAAGGTATATATTTGGGAGGGGTCTCAGGGACTTGCTTTTACTTTCTAAAACAACGACACTCCCCAGAGGTGGAGCTTCACAGAACTTAAGTGACCATGAGAACCGACCCTCAAGTCAGCCTGAGATCCTCTCAAGTGAGAGTTTGTGGGATTTAGGATCATTATTCCCAATGTCAACTCCAAAAGTTCAGGGGTACCACTCCCCCCCATCCCTAGTTCTCCATGGAAGCCCAGCATGGAAGTGTCAGTTGGTAATTATTAAAACCACTTTAATAAGCAGCAGTTGTTTCATGTAAATAATACCTGTTCATTATAGGAAAATTAGAAAATGTAGGTAAATAGACTGATAGTCATTCACATTATTGCCACAAAGAGATAGCTAATGGTAATTTTGAGACTTACATTCTTTAAGATGGTTTCCCATATGCATGTATGCACATTTATATTTACAGTCAAAGCAAACAATCCACTTGGCCTAAATTTCCATATACCTCTTAGCAAGGAGTAGGAATACCACATTAGGAGTCACAAAACCCTTGTTCAAATCCCAGTTCTGCTTCTTGTCAACAAATCGTAGTTTACAAGAGACCCTAATTCATAGGCTAGTTTATCTCATGTTGCTTTTGCAAAGATTTCAATGACGCATGATATATAAATCGCCAGGCACGACAGAGAGCAGTAAATCAATGGTAATTTCTTCTGTCTTGCCAGGTATCTAAGTGGGTATAGGAGCTCTGGAAGGAATTCTCAGACTTAATCTACTCTGGTGGTTTTCACACTGGCTTCTCTGAGGGCCACCCACCTCTGGGTTCCCCTACCCTGATTCAGCACAAGCAACTTCCCTTTTGTTTTATATACTGGGGTTCTAGATAAAATAGAATTTGCAAAATATATGGGTTTTACTAATAAAAAAACTACTGCCCACGTCCTCCCCTCACATCTGTAGAACTGCAGAGGGAATGTGCCCTGCCCAAGGACATGAGGTTTGCTGGGAAACTACACATGCTTTGGATTTTTGGACCGATACCCTTTCCACTCATGCCTGGCCTTGACAGTGGTCCTAAATTGATCTCTTTCCAGCTCCCAAGACCTCTGGTATGGAATCCTGTGATTTTTGGTCACAAATCCATTTCCTATAAGCAATCTTTCCATGGTTTTATAAGCCTCAGCCACATCAAAGAACATTTAAGGAAGACCTATCACTCACTGTGTTCTGACAATGGAGAGGAGTGTCTTCCTTCTAACCAGAGGCCTTAAGACAAGCGGATGGCATCTAGGAGCAGCAAGCTGGTGCTTGTGGATGTCTGTGTCACCATTGGCTGTGAGCATTTTTAGGTCAGTGACTGTGGCTTATTTCCCTCTCCAGCCCTTTGCCCCCTTACAGGGCTCTTTTTTGAAGCACCTAGCACCTGAGTGCACTCAGTAAAGGTTGATTGTGTTGAAGAAAATCAGAGGTCCTGGGACAAGCCGGGGGGGTTGGTCAGCATTATCCCAAGGACATGGAAGTCAGTGGGTAGCAGGACAGGCTTGTGCCCACTGGGAAAAGATCTTGGAGTGAAGACTGATTTAAGATGCTACTTTCTTGCCATCTGTCCTCCTCCTAACTCCCTTGGTTTAGCCCAGGAAAAATTAAGTAAAAGATACTTTGTGCAGTAGCAAGGTTGGCCTTGTTAGAATCTGGTTGATATCTGCTTGGAACATGGGAGCCCTTTTAGGACTGGGCTGCTTGACTTCTTTAAGCTACTTTGTTTTCTTTACGAACAACTCAGGACCTAGGCAGGAATGAATTTCAGCTGGGGAGAGTATCTTCATGGGTACTGGAGGAGCACACAGAGGTTGCCCTGTGCCTTCTTGGGAGAATGCTCTGTTTTAAAGCATTTATTCCAAGGACAGACAGAATTTGGGCTGAGGCCCAGAATGTTAGATGCAGAGCATCCCACCACTGCTGGGGATAGGAGACAAAAACTCCAATTTGCTACATGGGGAAAAACAGTTTTACTTCCATAAATTTTCTAAATAACTGATAGCTATGCAGGAAAAAACTTATTTCCACATTGCACATCTTTTTAAGAAAATGTTAGTTTTTAGAAAGTACAGTGTGATATTTAAAACAGAATCTTAGTTTGGTGGCTGAAGATCTGGCTTTGTGCTAGGACTATGGAGCATGAAGTTTGTGTGCCCGGGTCAGCGATGTCCATGTGGAGCAGACTGGAAGGAATGTGGGCTGTCCTCAAATTGTTCCCCAACTGTTGCAAAACAAATGGGGGGAAAAAAAGAAAAGACCGCAGATTCTTAAACATAAGCTTGCCTTTTCTTGGAGCATGCTTTTAAAAAGTGGAATGCAGCAAATGGCCCTGTTAATGGAGGGTTCAGGTTGGTTGAAGAGTTATTTCCTGGCACTGTGGTGCAGTACAGGGCAGGAGCTGGGTAAATGTTGAATTGTGAGAAGAAAGATGTTGCGCTGAAAGTATAGTTGGGTCCTGTCCCTAGGGTTGGTCTGAGCCTAACGTCAGAGTCCTAAGGCCAACTCGCCCTGGGGCCCAGCTCCCTGTCTGTGAGACAAGAAGAGTGTGGGCTGGCATTATCTTGGAGGTCTTATTAAAACTATTAGTTTCAAGAGCCATTGCTTTTGTGGGCCCTTCCTGCCCCCCTCCTCCATAGCTGGCCCCAGTGGACCATGTTTATTTATAAGCAGGAGGAGTGTCCTCAAAGAAGTGAAAATACCAGCTTAATTTCACTGCTGTTCTGCTACCCTGTTCTTTGTTTATTAATCTTTCCTGCCTGCTGGGAAGTAGCTTCTATGCACTTCTTCCTGCTGTGTCTTATTAGAAGGTTAGCTGACGAGTGAGGGTCTCACCTGGTTGTTACTGGCTCGTCTCCCCTTCTTGCTGAAAAGAGAACTACCTTCTTTGGGGGGGTGTTACTTGGAGGGAGGAAGAGCACAGGGAAGAATGAGAGGAGGGTGAGGCAGTCCCCCTGTAGTCACCTAGTGAGGCTTTCATTTTGTATTGTATATGTGGGTTGTGTTCGTATGTTTTTCAAGGGGGTTCAAGGGGCTGGGACAAGGGAAGACTTGGCCATGTGTAGTCACTGTATATGGCACCTTTGGAATTTCACTGTCAGGGATGAGCCACACATATGCCATCTGGTCACTAGGATTCTTGGTGTCTGGGAATTTTTCTGAGGACTAACAAGAGCTAAGTTGATTTGCATGTGGCCTGTAAGGATGCTTTCTTTTCACTTGGGCCTTGAGAAGGCCCTGATGGAATGGAAGATGGATAGTTATATACATATAGTTTGTTCTGAACTTTCACATCTCGTCTGTCTTCACACAGAAGCACATTGTTTTCCCTTTAGGTTTTTTCACTTGCACCCAGGGGCTTTT